TCGTCCGTACGCGATACGAACCGCTCTGGCCAGTTCTTGCCTAAAGGCTGGCCATCTCGTACGCGTAGTAGTTTTTCTGCCATATCTGCTACTTCACATAGACGGGGGGCAAATCCTCGCGAGTCTAGGTCAAGAATGTATCGTACGATAGTTTGCTCTTCAGATTTAGTTAGCTTCTGGCAATTTGGCTGCGTCGTAGGTCGAAAGGTGATTCCTTGAAGCCGCCGAGAGATCTGCTGATGATGGACGTTATAGGCTGCTGCAGCGCGTCGAATGCTCTTAAACTGGCCTGTACGATAGGCCTGAACTGCTAGAGTAAGCCTACCCTCTTGCTGAGTAAATATCACGTTCTGTTGTTGAGGCATTGTCTTTCGTACGTGAAGTTCGCGATGCCAAGAAAAAGTGGCACTCTCGGTGGGGTGGCACTCTCGGTGGTGGAATACGTTATTGATTATTACTCATAAGTTACTTAATTAAGCTAAAGTCTTCTAGTATGTTTTAATATTTCTTTATAGCTTATATTCCTTTTAAATATCGAATCAACTACCTTATATATATAAAAGCTTACTTGAAAAAGTATTTCTACTTATAACGTCAAAGTATAGCGAGTGGCCGAGAATAGCGAGTGACCGAAAATGCCAAGCCCTCATCAACCTCACCACCGTTGCGCAACCATTACAGCGCAACAACAACAGTAAATTAAAATTAGAAAAGGCTAATCTATTTAGAATTAACCTCTTCATCTTGCTTGCAGGTGCGCGAGTTGTGTCTAGTCTCACCGCAGCGTCTATAGCGCCTTTGCGACGGTTCGCCTACTTCAGCGCTCTCTCCCTTCTTTGCCTTCTTCCCACTACCACGCGCCCTAGACTCCTTTAGAGTTGCTAGTTTCTCTCCTTCTTTAATTGTTAGGGTCTCTCCTTTCTGTAGCCGCTTTCTTTTGTGTGATCTCCTTCGCGTGGCGGCTTTATTCGCTGCTTCAAGCTTAGAGACCCGTTTCTTAACTAACACTAACTCATGCGCAATAGTAGTCGCACCTTTAACTAGGTTTTCAACAGCACCTAGCATACTTATTAGTGAACTATCTAGGTGCATTTAAATCCTCTGCTTCACTAGCGTTAATTACAGCCTTATTTCTAGGGTGTTACTTAGGGTTTGCAACTACTAGTGTAGATTTTTAGCAGCAAGTGGTGAAGGGGTGCGCAGCTTAACATCTAGCTTTGATGTCACCACCTCTAGGTCGTGTGTAACCAATCTAGCGCCTTAAAACCCTCCTAGGATATTATCCTTTGTAACTGTCTAAAAATAGGCTTGCTAGAAGGCTAGCAAGAACTCTATCTTAGTCATATAGTTGATCCTATTGCGCATCAGCTCCTTAGCTTAGCGCCCATATGCCCTCTTCAAAGGCGAAAAACACCCCACATCAAGAGGCTGCAGTAGATAGGAAGAGTGCGGAGGCATACATAGAGTAACAATCTTTGCTTCTATGCAGTATTGCTAGAAGTTAACTAAGTTGTGGCTCTCATGACCGTCTAGAATAAGTAGGCGATAGGCTCCAATAGTACGCTCTTTTGTATGCCTGTTATAGTGCTCTAGCCACTTCATACCAAGCTCGTTTGTTGTCCAGCCATTCTTAGAGACTGCGAGAACCCAATCCCTAAGCAGGCTGTCTTCCTTATACCAGGCAGAGAGGTGGTGCTTGCCCTAAAAGATGATGAAGGGTAGGATCGCCCAGCCAGCTGCGCTAACACAAACCACGCTAGTAACCTACTCTTTGTTGCCCTGCTGCAGAGATTTTAGCTTTAATTAACAATTAGAGGCTGTGACTACTGCTAACAAGTTGTGCATGCCTATTATAAAGCCTGTCTCGTCAAAATTGTACATGTCGTTGTCCTAGATCCCATACTTGGCTTTGGTATTCTATACAAGGCGGAACTAGCCCTGCACAAGCTTAGGATCTTCACAGAGGGCTCTCTTGTAGTTGTACTTTTGATTAAACTTTATCTTAAGCTCTAGGCGACGCTTTATAAATGCTTTAGGCCAGTTAGGGCCAACAGGGTCGCAGTAGCGGGCAGCTAGCAAAGAATTAGCTAGATCTTTGACAGCAGAAAGGCGCAGCGGAAATCCTCTTGCATCAAGATCAAGAATATTCTTAACAATCACCTCCTCTTCTATTATAAGTAGTTTCATTAAGTTAGGCGAACAATCTTGTCAAGAAGGCTTTCCTACGAGTCTTTGTCTTAGGGTACGTTTAGGCACGTTGTAGAGAGCTGCAGCGCGTGGAATGTTAATTATCGCGTCGCATTTAATAGCCTAAATTGCAAGCTGTACTTAAGACTCTTTTAAAGACTTTTTTGAATGAATTTGTTGAGACATCGCGAGTAGTAGTGAAAGTTAATGGGGGCTTGGCATTTTCGGTCACTCGCTATTCTCGGCCACTCGCTATACTTTGACGTTAGTTAATTTTTTTTCTTATTCTTATTTTTTTTCATTTACTTTATTACTATTTTAATATTTATTACCTACTTACTTACTCTTTTTCTTACTTTATTAAAATTTTAATAAGTAGCTTTTATCAAAGTTTTTAGTTGAGAAAATGAAAGGTTTTAAAAAAAGTTAATTTTTTTTACTAATATCAAACAACTACTATAATAACTTAACTAATAAACCTTGTATAGATTAATTATATAACTTTAACTTTAAATAAGTACTTTAAGTATGTATATTACTACTATAAAGCTTAAAGGTATTTTACTTATATACCTTATAAGAAGTTATAAATAGGGACGTTAAATGTATACATTACATTACATCACATCACACCTGCAAACGTGGATAGGCTCCACAATAGATTTCACCGCCATGCAAGGACGATTCAACTTCCTCAGATAAGGGGCAAGTGGACGGGAATATAGAGCCGCAGATAACATTACTTATCTTTAATATACTAAGAATATCAAAAGACGTCTTTCTCTAACCTATTTACCTTTACAAGCTGCAACAGATGGCTACAAACCGTGACTCTTGTCTTGCCCCATACTGTTTCAGACCACCTAATTTTCACCGCCAGGCAGTACCTTTATCCTACCATCATCTGCCTGCTAGCCGTCGCCGGTTTCTCTAGGGCCGTGACCTGCCATTCATCTCCTAGATACAATGCCTCCAACATGGGAAAACGCTGTACCATGGCTCGTGGCGTACGTCGCATAAGTCTCTTCTTCCCAGTCTCCAAAACAACGTGGAAAAAAAAAATCTCACACCCAGAGGGAAAGATCAGAATCTATAATAGTAAGCGCTATTATCGATTTCCTGTTATATTCATATACAGTTTATATACCGCATGTGTGGCTGTTCGCTTGCATGTCGTGGGAATGGGTATACAGCGCACGTGTTGAATGCACAAAGCCGCGTTGGGAGCAGCGAATCGAATTTCACACCGGAAGATATTAAAGGGTTGCGGAAAATTTTCAGGGCGCTAGATGAGGTCTTGAGACGGGAACTTGGGGCTCACTTGTTGGCAAAGAAGGGGTACAGGATTCCGATTCGGTGAGGTAGTTACGGATACAGCTAGATTGATATTCATGCATGGTAGACCCATGGTTAGTAACTTTGAGAACAACATGAATCAAGGCATAGCAACGCGTTGCTTATCATACCGCTTGTACCCACTTTTCTCGACGCCATGTCTACAAGCAATAGTTTAGTTGATCCCAAACGAAGACGTCTCTCTGCACTTCGTCCACCGAATCATATGAAAAAGCATGCCGTGGAAACGAATTTTTCCCGAAGAAAGACCAACAGCTGCAACTACTAAGAGCGAGAGTATATGTACCAAAAATGTATTTTCTATGTCTTGTGCATGCAACGCAAGCCATGGTTTATATATAGCAAGATCACGCCAATCGTTCGCCTAACCAAAACTCCATCGCTAGCCAAAACATGATGCGGACATGGAAACAAAGCACGTGTGAGGACTCGTTGACGAAAACCAGGTAGGCTGGCTGGCTGGCTGGTTCAACGTACACGTGAAAAGACAGTGCTCATGCAAACTTCTTCACTACCATGAATAGCAGCGCAGCCACAACACCATAGATGCAAGTGTCAATCCAAGCCAAATCAGAACTCGTTTGAGCAACTTGTTGCAATGGGCGTGCAGCCGTGGTCCTCACAGGCCTTATCACAGGCGCACTAGATGCAGGCCGCATGGGGTTCGGGTTTGGAACCGCTGGGGCCGAGGTAGTGGCAGGCGACGTGTCAGCCCCGCCGTGTACCGCGGGTGCCTTGCCTTTGTCCACCTTGTCGTCTTGTGCCTTACCCAGTTCATCTCGGTACGCGAGTCTCAGTTCCTCGGGTACCTCGTCTTCTTTCCTCTTGCCCTCTTTCTCCTCAATTTCCTTGACGAGAGCATCCCTTTCCTGCATGATTTCCGCGTTGCGCTTCCCGCATCCCGCGCATCCCCACGCACCGCTTTCTTTGGCCATACGCTCTCGTGCTTCCCTGCTGCATTCGATGCCGCCCAGCTGGCCCTTGGCGTTGGTATCCATGAAGCTTCTTATTGCGACGAGCGCTGTGCGGACGCCCCATGCGGGCTGCCATGTCTCCTCATGATGGCCTGATATGCTGAGGCAGATCTCGCGGTTTACTTCGAAGCGGCCTGTGGGAGTAAGGAAGCGGAAAGACGGCGGGCGCAGCGGGTAGGCAGATGGCAGGATTATGCGACCGTGGTATATGCCGCCCGCGTAAGGCGAGGGCTCAGGCGGGCCGCGGATTGTAAAGTGCCATTCAAAGAGGTTGGTTTCTAGCGGTTCGGCATGATAATCCGACGACGGGGACAGAGAGAGCTCGGAAGCCTCTTTTACTGGGGCACATTAGCTATGTGAAGCTCTCTGGTAGCGGGTGCTGACGTACATATGCGCTTGATGGTCGGGTTCTTGGTGTTGAACTGCCCGCGCGTGGACATTGTTGCGGTGAGAGCGGATCTAAGAGCTAGATTAGGTGAGGGTATTGATGATCAGTCGAGGGGAAGCGTGGGGTATAACAGGTACAGGCACGTAGAGTCAACGAGCACACGCGGCGCACGTGTTGGGACGCAATCGCGCATAATGCAACGTAGACGTCGCGGCGCATGCGCCCCGAGGCAGTAAGCGCCGTTCCGGCTCTGCTTATCGATAACGCTCCCACTGCCATCTCCTCCCCTCCCCTCGCTGCCTTGGCAATCGTCTGGCCGAGTGCTTGGTTGCTACACCTAGACTGCGACACGCTCAATTTAACAGACTCTGCTAACAGATGGTACAGGCACAGGGGCTCGCGGATCCAGTGTGTCACGCAGGTTGGCGAGAGACGCACGGCGTCGCACCCTCGAACCTTGTTTCCCAACGGCTGACAGCCCTGCATGTGACACGGTCCTCTCTACACGGTACCATTTCAAATGCCGTCTGACTAATCCGCTGTCCAGGTGAGATGGAATACAACCAACTTTGTACATGACACCAATGCTGTCTTCAACTACCGAGTCATCATGCAACTACCGAGCAAAGACGCAACTACCGAGGAAATATGCAACTACCCAAGTCATGTCATGCATACCATGGCCTAATGTATGTATGCCATACCGCAGCGGAATAAGATTTTGTGATAGAAGATGTACCTTGCCACCTATAAGCATATCGTCAAATCACCGCACCAGGCTATTGATGTATGCAACACGTTCTGTTCGGTCATCATCTGCCTCGACATAGCTCCGGTCCTTGCGGAACACAAAATTCTTTGCCTCGCTCGCGTAGCTCGGCCATTCCGGGGTACCAGGAACTACACGCCTCGTTAGCAGTCTATCCAGAATACACCAATGGGGATTCAAACCTCCGTGGCCATTCGGATCAAGGTCATATGCAAAAGCTGTCCACATGCGCATGACTAGCTTGGAGAGGGCCAGGTTCTCCGCGCTGTTTCCCAGAGGTGTAAGTTGCTGTTCGGTGTTACCAAACACAAAAGGTATCTGTCCACAGATGTTAGCCTCGGCAAGTTCTACTTGATGCTTACGGATCATGAAGAGACTCGCCTCGGAAAAGTGGTTAACGCCAATATAATCCGGTGTGTTGTTGAATTTTGGTGCATCCCAGCGATATGAATACACGCCGTCTACGTGCTTGCTCATGCTTTGGGCTAGGAGCCTTCTGGGAGCATACATGGTCAGGTCCGTCGCGATGCTCTGGAACCGCTTGTACTGCAGCCCAAACTGCGGCCATGTGCGGTTACCCCATCCGTATGGCTGGCCGAGAGAAGGGTCGTTGGGGTAAAGCTGTAGTAGTTTCTGTGCGACAGTCTCGTTGACATTCCAGCGCTTGGAGTGCACAAGCTCATGTATGGCTTGCGAGTCATTGTCCACGCCGTTGACACCAAAACCCTCGTCGGTGTTGGTACCGAGGATGAGCGGGATCTTTGCAAACTTTCCTTGCTTCAGAGACTGCTGTCCGTATCGAGGAATGAAGCTGCCGTCCATTACATGGAACCACTCCAAGTTTTGGTAGCCATATGGTGCAATGGTTTCAAACGGCACATCGCGAAGGCATTGGAGCGTGTCTTGGGCGTCAGCACATCCGACCAACTTTGCCAGGTTGTCGTACATATTCTGGTACCATTCCGTTCCGTTCAAGGGTGCCCCAACTGAGTTGCCGCTCTCCAGAATGGCAGCACGGAAGAGTCCGCCGTTGTCACCATTGTAGGCTGCAATGTGGTCACCGACAGAATATCCGCCAGCCGACTCGCCCCAAATGGTGACTTTGGAAGGATCGCCACCAAACGAGGAGATGTGCTTGTTGACCCACTGTAGTGCGAGGCGCTGATCGCGAAGTCCGAGGTTCTCGACACCAGCCTCCTTCACTTGCTTGCTGTACAAGAAGCCGAATGCTGCCATACGGTAGTTGATGGAGATGCCAATGACAGGCTTATCATTGAGCACCGATTGTTGGACTATGTAGCTCATGTTATAACTACCCATGTTCAGCATAGCTATCTCACATACACACTTCTGAAAGCTTACCGCGGGTCACTCGTAGCCCCTTGTTGCCATCCGCCGCCATAAATCCAAAGCAGTACTGGAAGCCCAGTCTCATTCGTCCTCGGCTTGATAATGTTGAGATGCAGACAATCTTCACCCAACCGAGTCCAATTGCTGGCAACCAATGCGTTGGTATCTCCCCCGTAGCCCTGGCAGTCTAGGCCATATTTTGTAGCATCGTGACGTGTCTTTGGAGCATTGGAGACGAGCTTAGCAGGAGCAAAACGCACTGGTTTTGGCGCATATTTGATACCCAGGAAAACATCTTGGTCAAATTCGGGGAGGTAGCGTCCTTGGTACACGCCAGAATCAGAATGGACAATAGGAGATGCTGCACAGGCAATGCCAGCAAGGCTTGCCGCCGCGCAATAAGTGATGGAGAGTTTCATTGCAGGCGCTCATGGCCCGGTCCACCAACGCCTCTACCGCTACTATTTATTCAGCTATTTATTCAGATACCCTCAAGACTGCTACATGCCTAATGAGAGCAGAAAGAGAAGCATGGCTGCTGCACGTTGAAAGTTCCACCAATAGGCTTCTTGACTTTGCAGCTGGCTTGGCAGCTGGTTCACTGCCGCCTTGGCGAAGAAATGATGCCAAGAATCCTGATGTCAATACCTGAGCGTCTGGAGATGTTCCAAGACGCTTTTTTTATCCAATGGGATGCCACAGCAAATACCTGCGAACCCATCCACTCACAAGTGTGACTATGCATAAAGCTTACGGAAAAGCTTCAGGCAAAGCTTAAGTATGGCGGATGCCAAGGCGACGATGAGAACGTCATAATAACCGGATATTTTCACAATATGCAATCGTGTTCGTACTGCTGGAACTAGTGTGGTGAAGAGCTAGACCCCACATTGCCCCGCAAACTCGAGATGTGGTGGGCACATTCGATTCCAATTATCCGGTATAGCAAGCATCGTCATTCGTGCGATTGTCGCGGTGGCTGAAGATTGAAAGAAATTGCGCCGTCATGTGTATGGTGCTTCCAGAAGGCAACATACAGGGGCTTCGACTTGGCGATCAGGTGCGGGCGTTGGTTGGTGGAGCGGGAATCTGAAAAACCACAAACAGATAAGGTTCAAACCGCGATATTACCTGGGGTACTGGACCTCGAAGCCTTGATTCGTGCCGCGTATTCGATGCGGGATGACAACCCGCATCCTATCTTGATGGTAGATGCCATTGTATCTTGCAGATGTCCAGGCCATGTCCGGACGTGGCAAAGACCAAGTCATGGTGGATAACAAGAACGTTGTAGCCTACATTATTAGACCACCTGGAAGAAAAGGCGCTTTGCCGGCGATGGCTACAGTAACTTGACCTGCGGACACTCCTTTTTTTGAGGAACAACACCAGTGATTGATGGGTGAATGCGAAGACCTGATGCAGGAGGGCATGTAAGTACGGTAGTGTCTTCAAAGTTTCATCTGAGACAACATTGCGACCAAAAGACGGTTTTCATCCCGTCTCGGTTAGGGCTGGTGTAGTTGTCGAAATCCGCATGGGCCTTGGGATGGCTGAATGCCTTGCCTTAGCCAGTCTTACCGTTGACGTCGCGCGTGGCGCAGTGGGCCTTGGTGTCCCAGTCCATACATTTGGACTGAGGGGAGGAAGATGTTTGTCGACGTCAGGTTCCAGTGCGAAATTCTGGTTGCCAGGGCACTGGGCAAGGAGTCAGCTCGCATGGGCGCAGAGCCCTCGTCCAGAGGCCATGAGCTGGTGCCACATGGTATGCCTGGTCTTGTCGAGTTGGCCGAAGACGTGTGCATGTGTGAACAAATCGGACGACGAAGTCATCAACTTATTGTGAGCGACACGGGCGACAGAGCCTGTGGCGCAGAGTTAGTGGGAGGATTCTTGCACGCGGGGGGCACAGTCTGTCACGGGCGCATACCGTAACGGTCACTAATGGACGTGTATTATTACCAGCGATGAGCGTTTTCCGGAGAGCTTGGGTGTGTGTGTGCAAAGCTCAAACCAGCCGGTCATGGGCGGGCCAGGCTGAGGGCTTGGAGGCGGCGATACTTTCGGTGGTTGTTCGCTTGGTGCACCTATAGTGCGATAGCGGCGGGCAGCACTAGCCACCTGGCTGCATACATATGTGTATGCATGTGCAACGAGCCTAGCAGCGGCATTGGACGTGAGCAGAGGCGGATAACGGGCGCAGCGACGCGTGCAAAAGGAAAGAAAAGGGGGGAGGGGGGCGCTGGAGGGATTGCTGACAGGACACATAGGTAGATGGTGGGCGCAGGGTGTCCTGGTGGGTGGTGCATGTGCATGCGCATGTATGTACACTGCATGGCGGGCGTGGGCAGGGTGCGACTCGGCATGTGGATTCGATGTGTGTGAATATGGAGCATTGAGCATAGTGTCCATCTGTTGATAAGTGCCGAGAGATGCGAAGACGTGTCGAGACTGGCTGCCGCCTTAGCGGGCGAGGGAGGCGGTGCTGTCGCGGGCGCGCTAGGCCTGAAACGGCGGCTGGACGGGCTAAGCGATGCCCGCCAACTCCCAGACCCCTAAAGCCGCCAAGCCTTTGCCTTCGCACTGTGTATCACTATCAAAACCAAAAAAAAACCCCCCCAAAAAAATCCTTGGGCCTGCCTGGGGGCCCAGCCCTCGCCCTCGCCCTCGCCCTCGCCCACAGCCAGCCCGCCCAGACCCCGTCCCCGACAACCGCCCGCCCTGCGCCTGCATGGCAGTGCCGTGGTTCACCTGCTGGCCAGCGGGAATTCTCCGACCCAGACAAGTGTAAGCACACCAGCGCCAGCGCGACCGCCTCGATTCCTTTGTTCGTCGCCGGCACGACTTTGCACCGTCTCTAGCAGGGGGCCGGCGGCCAAACCCAAGACCGTCTCCACCACCACCAGCGTCCATGGCTGGGCCCCCGTCCGAGATCTTCAGGGCCCACGGGGCGTCGTGTTATCGCTCCCAATCCGGTTACCCTGCGGCTCATCTCTTGGACCCTGACCCTTTGCGCTGTCCCCAAGCCCATGCCATGCGATACACGCTTCGCGACAGTGGCCACCAAAGGCCCTCCTGTCCTCCTGCCCGCCTGCCCGCCTGCCCGCCCGCCCGCTTCACCCTCGCTGAAACCATGCACACGCCCGCCTCACCTCTGCATCCTCGCCTCCCCCGTCGGCAATCCTGCCTCGTCGCAAAAAAAAAGAAACGCCCTCACCGCAACGTGTTGCCCCCCGGCCCAGCTAGGGCGGACTGTGCGCTGACGTTGAAATCTCGGTTGGGGGACCCACTGCTGCCGCCATAGACACGAGGCGGTGTCTCTCTCTCGAATCGCATCCTCGCGAGCATGAAACGTATGTCGGGTCCGTTGAGCTTAGACTGCATGCTGTCAAGGGGCAGATTTTTTCCTGCGAGACGCGCCTCCTTTTGCTACAAAAGCCCGCCCAGCCCCCCCCTCGCCCTCTCTGAACGCCTGCCAGTCCATTCCCTCCTTTTCCAACCATGATTACGACCACGTCCCGCGTCCAGGAAAATCCTGTCAAGACACGGCTCACGGCTGTGGCTGACGTCCACTCCTCCCCCGCCGTCACGCCCATTCCCGATGTCAAGACGCTCAAAGATGCCATTCCAGCCAAGTGCTTCGAGCGCTCCATGATCCGCTCCTTCTCGTATGTCGTTCGCGACCTCATCATCGTGAGCGCTCTCTTCTACTCGGCCGTCGGCATTTCCCGGCTCGATGCCCCGTGGTTCGTCTCCGTTCCCTTGTGGGCGTTGTACAGCTTTGTCCAGGGGTGTTTCTTTACCGGTCTTTGGATCCTGGCCCACGACTGCGGTCATGACTCGTTTTCCGACAACCTCACCGTCAACGCCATCACCGGATGGTTCCTGCACAGCATCTTGATGGTCCCCTTTTTCAGCTGGAAGTTCAGCCACGCGCGTCACCACCGATACCACAACCACATGGACAAGGACACGGTTTTCGTCCCGCCCCGCAAGTCCGATGTCGAGTCCAGGAAGACTCAGCCAACCCTTCTCCAAAAGATCATGGACCACACCGATGCCGACACGCCCATTGTCACCGTCGCTGCCCTCATCTTCCACCAGGTCCTCGGCTGGCCAGCCTACATCTTGATGAACGCCGGTGCCGGCCCCAAGAGCCTGACCAGGACCGACCGTAAAACCGCCTCCCGCTACAAGCAAAGCCATCTGGACCCCACTTCGCCCGTTTTCACCCCATCAGAGGCACCCTTTGTCGCCATCAGCAACCTTGGACTCGTCATGACCATGACTGCCTTGTATTTCGCCTCCAAGAGCGTGGGAACCTCGACTGCTCTCCTGGCATATGGTCTGCCTTACCTGTGGATGAACCACTGGATCGGTAAGCCGGCCCCCTACGTTTGATGCTTCCCACCACAAAGGCTAATATCTTATCTTTTTCCACAGTTGCCATCACCTACCTTCACCACACCCACCCAGAGGCCCCGCACTACGAGGCCGACGAGTGGACTTTTATCAAGGGTGCTGCCTCCACCGTGGACCGTGACTTTGGCTTCATCGGCCGTCACATTTTCCACGGCATCATTGAGTACCACGTTGTCCACCACATGTTCCCGTAAGTCTAACCTCATGTCCACCCTGCGCCATCAACCCAACTAACATGGCAACAGTCGTATTCCTTTCTACCATGCCGAGGAGGCAACCTGGGCCATTGCGCCCCTGCTTGGTGAACGCTACATTCAGCAAAAGACCAACTTTTTCGGTGACCTGTGGCAGAGCTTTACCAACTGCAAGCACGTTGAGCCGGGAACGGGTGCGCATTCCGGAGGTCTGGTCTGGTCAAAGGCCAACGCTTAATCGTGTCAACGCAACGCACGTAGTACTTGAACTGATAGAGAAAAAAATCCAAAAAGTTGCATACCACCCCACACCCTGTGTAACGTGAGGTCCCCATGTGTATATAAAAGCCAAGAGCTTGGTCATCCAGAGACGCATTAGCCAAGCAATACTCAGTCCGTGTCAATGGGACCCGTTCCACCCGCTGCCGCAGCGGGGTCTCTCATACAATAATCAAAATTCCCGTCCGCGTTGTTACCCCAGTATTTGGGGAACTTGACAGCCGGGCCTATGCCTCCCAGCACTGTATACGTAAGGATCAGGACTATGACTTGCGTCCCGCCATCTAGGGCTGCTGCAAGTACATAATTGTACTGGATAAACCAAGATGCCCTGTACCGGCGCAACCAGAACTGGCTTGTGAGACCAATGATGAAATACATGAGCAACGAGCTCGATATCCCGACTGCAAGGAAACCCGCATAAGCAAGAATAATCGGCGTGTTGATCTTGGGCAAGAGGGATAGCTTGGGAAAGCGCCGGTGCATGCAGTAAAACGGTATGGGAATGGCAAAGCCGGCAAGAAGCCCAAATGGGATGGCGACGTATCGGGATCCAGGAGAGAACATTTCTTTAGCCAGGGCACCCCAGGCAATGGCCTTGTGAAGTTCGCGTTAGTCTTTCTTTCCCTCCAAGAATGCGTTAGCAGTACGAACTGGGCTTGCTTACCTGAGAATTGAACTGCTGGATATTCTGCCCAGACCATACATTCGTGCCCTGGATCGAAAGCAAGATTTCCCTCTGGTTTGTCGTAATCTGCACCATCATGGCGTAATTTACCATGGCGCCGACCAGCGTCCCGACGGCTTGTGCTATGAACGTAACACGAGGCGGGATCTTCGCATACTGTCCAAACTTCAACTCTTGCACTAAGCTGATGCCTTGGACGACAGAGTTGTAGCCAAAGAGCGTAAAGTACATGTTGGCTAGTGGCCGTCCGGGATGTAGGTAGCCACCCAGCATCTGTACTATGGGTTGTACATTGCCTTGGTAGCCTGTGAGTGCAGCTTGCGCGCCGAAAAAGAAGATGAAAATGCCCGACACGGCGATACTGACGAGAAAGCCATACCATGGGAGAGTAGAGTTGGCCGCATAGATGCCAATCAGACCCACTACAATCGAAATGCTTAGGATGGCGCCGTACCACCAATTTGGACATTCTGGATAGTGGAGCATGAGTTTGTAGTGTGGGTCTATTTCCTTTTCCTTTTCCTTTTCCTTTTCCTTTTTCTCTTTTTCTTCTTCTTCTTCTTTTATCTCTTCTTCGTCTCCGCCCTCGTCTTGTTCATCAGTTGAATCAGTCTTTGACTGAGATCGGCGCGAGAGTGATTTCCAAGACTTCATCTCGAATGCCTTTCGCAAGTTACTCGGGTGAAGAAAGGCATATCCAGCCTTCATGTCGTCCCAGTTCCAGAGAAGAAGGTGTGATATGGTAGATGTGATTGCGAGATTGTTGGTCAGAAGGAACATGGCGTAAGTTCCTGCAAAAAACGGGATACCTTGCTCTTTGAGCGATTCTGGCTGAAGGACATGTTGGTCGTCGAGAATCGCAGTTTGGTTGTACGTGACATAGTTTGAGCCCGTCGAATCCTCGGAGAAGAGAAGTTGGGATAGAAAAGGAAAGTCGCGTGCTCTCCAAACATTGCCGTAGTAGACGCCAAGAAACAAAGCAATGCATATGATATATCCAGCGAAGCTGTTCATCAAGGTTTGCGGAGGTAGCCACAGTGGCTTGCTGCCGATGAATTGCCAATCAAGGCCTAATGATAGTATTCCAAGGCCCTCGTTTCCATTGGAGCCTCCGAATATTGTCGTCGTAAACAAACTGTTTTGGCTAGCTAAGCAGAAGACACTGACACCAGTCAGGATTGGCATGATGTACTCTGGCAATACCTCCCAAATAAATATGCCCAGAAATACCCAGTAGAAGAGGCTGAGGCGCGACTTTGTCTCTTTGCGGTCTCGATGAAGCGTCTCCAGCAGGGTATTCATCGGTAGTAAGCTTGGCCAGAACATTTTAGTTGAATATACCAGAGTGCGACGAAGCAGTCCAGCAAAGCCGTAGCCCAAACACTGAGATGCCAAGACAATTAGTATCGATAAACCTGAACTAGGGGCTTTATCATAGTACAGTCTTTGAACAGCAATCACCTCCACAGCCATGGATACTTGTGATGCCGACGTGGCGACGATGATAATGGCCGCGTGCTCCTTGGAGTTGAAGGCATGTGGATTGAGCCAGCATCCTATGACACCTTTTCGCGGTATCACCTTCTCCATGAGTATTCCGATGCCGTACGCACAGAGGGCGAGAAAAATGTTTGACACATCCAGTGTGACGGGCCGGAAGAAGTAGATCGTCTCCATGATAGCCCCAAAAATTCCAAGTCCAATCCCTAGTGAAGTTAACATACATGTGACGATTGAACAGGAGTTTAACACATACTCACCTATAAACCACATGCGGAAAGTGCAAGAGCTGAGTGAAGGATCGTCTTCTACGTGAAGTACTTTGGTGACAATGTCCTCAGCACCTCTGATTGAAGCCTCAGCGTCTGGTGGCAGTTCTGACTTGGCTCCAATCGACTTCTCTGAAGATGACTGGAGGGTGGATCTGTCATGATCAAAAGCACTGTCCATAGTTGGCAGTGCAGCCATTTGCACACGCCCAGTGTCTCCCTCTTCAGTCTTCATCCTGCGTGAAGGAATAATTGAATTTCGGGACCCGCCCGGAGAATTGGTGGATGTAACGCGCGAACGCAGACAGCGTAAGGTAGCGAGTGAAATGAGACGGCTAGGATAATGTCAAATCTGGCGAGATCATGGCTCTGAAGTTGTGCCTGCCAAACGCCCGAGAGGTGCAATGGGAGCCTGGGAATGATGCAGAATATGAAAGCGCCATACCCCAGCTCTCTGCAAGCCATTGTCGAGGACCAGACAAGATTGAATCAAACGCTGTCTGGGATAAGCAACTCGCCGTGGTGCCAAGAGTGACAAAGCATAGCGAAGCTCTCGACAGATGGATCGTGCCAAGATGGGCCCAGGGTGCACGTCGCATCCATCTTTGTTCTAGGCCGCTTGACGTGAAAAAAGGCGTTGGGATGCATCACAGTGGTGAAACTCGTGGCTGAAGTTTGTTGGGGCCGGACGGCAAAGACAGCGTTGAGATGGGGAATGTGAGCTGATGTGAGGGTTGGTTGGCGTCGCCTTGACGTAAGTAAGGAGGCACTATACTTAGCTAGGCAAGCGGGGCTAACGCGTTCCATGTCGCAGGTCCCTGGATTTCTTGGATTGCTAACGCTCCCATGTCCAGCTGAAGAAGTCGTCCGCTTACACTCACACTCACCTGAACACCTCGCAAGTCTCTTCATCTGCCAGCTAACCATGGCCGACTTGGACAATGTCACTTACAACATTGCGGCCTTTATTGCTGCCCTCTTTGTATTGGAGTTCGGCGCAGACAAGTTCATCGACCACACCGCCATCGTCGCTCGTCGCACCGGCATTCCTGATACCATCATTGGCCTTGTTACTGCTGGCGGAGAGTGGGAAGAGGTGCGCTTATAGCTGTTGCGCATATGGTGAGCACGTGCTAATCATTCTTCACGCCAGTGCAGCTCGCCGTTGTGATTGCAGCCCTCGCACGCAATCGTCCATCTCTGGCCATTGGCAATATCATTGGATCTGCAATCTCCAATATCCTTGGTGCCTTTTCCCTCGGTCTCTTATTCCACGGCCAGGAAACGCAAATCCAATTTGACCGAAGCTCGCGCATATACTCGCTCGTCCTGTTACTCCTAACAACCTTTGTAACCCCAGCCACGTACTTTTCAGTTGAAACGGTATGGTCAGTTTGCGGCTCCATCTTGATCGCATTCTTTGCCATCTACATCGCCTCCGTCGGATGGGCCATCTCTCGAGGAACTCTGACTGCCCCCGAAGATTCCGACGATAGCAGTGACGATGACAGCAGCAATGAAGATGGCGCCGGTGATGAAAGCGATTCAGACGATAGCACTACTGGTCTCATTGCTGAGTGGGCGCATAACAGAGCCAACAGAAGCGAGGGTAGACCCTACGGTGCAATTGAAAGCAATCAATCCTCGCGCCGAACTTCACAAGGTGGCAGTACGAAAATGACAAGAGCAGCTGCAAGAGATCGGCGACCACATCGTACTCTCAGTTACCATATCTTTCACCTTTTCCTTGGGTTTGTGGCCATCTGCCTCGCTGGCTACGTGCTTTCTCATGCCGCCACGAGCATTACCGATGAACTAGGCATGTCGGACGTGCTTTTTGGCGTAGTCATCCTCGCAATCGCAACGACACTCCCAGAAAAGTTCATTGCTGTCATGAGCGGTCGTCGAGGCCACGCCGGAATTCTCGTGGCGAACACAGCAGGCAGTAACATCTTCTTGCTCGCTCTCTGCTCCGGCATCGTCATGCTCGACACTAACGGTAATTTTGAGCGTGGGAACGTCAATATTCCTGAACTGGGAGTTTTGTGGGGCTCGACTCTTGCTTTTACCGCAACGATATGGCTCAATGGTAGACTTTCTCGCTTCATCGGAATCGGGATGCTCATCGCATATGTCGCTTTTGTAGTGCTAGAATTCGTAGTCATTTATTAAAGTGTTCATGCGCTAAGAGTCACGTGCATTCCTAACCATGACTTTGTGGGAGCCCGTTGATTCGTCGAAGTATTTGTCCATTGTGTGGTACCCTTCTTCTAATCGTGAAAGCAATTACTAGAATGCCAATGCAATTGCAAAATTCATATTATGTTAAAGCAGCTCTTACGAGCTGATCCATCGATTGCCAAGTTCTGTGTATGGTTGCTCTTACTAGTAAGTCTTTGCAATACAGCTTCTTTGCTAATCCAAACAATTGCACGATTTCTTAAATATAAGAGAGTTGTATGGAATGCCATCACAGACGAATACTATTCCGATAGTAAATATCCCATAGTAGCGGTATCCGTATCTTTTCTTGGCACTATACTGAATGTCCTAGTGCAAGGCTGGAATTCGATAGCTGCTTGGAGCAGGCTCTTAGAGGCAATGGTGCGGGTGCAGCTGGGGGTACGAAGTGTGAAATAGGAAGCAGTAACTTGATCGGAAAGATAGAGTCGAAGGCTGTAGAAACATGTCCAATTGCGCCAGAGATGTTACATGAGAATTCCTAATGTATACGCGTTGGGAATGAAGCTCATATATCTATCTAGTATCGAACTTCTTTCAGATGACCAGCTCAGTCATCCTCCGGCAACTTGGAACTCAATTTCCGAAAGATGAGATACAAAACCAGATTCTACAGCACTTTCATTTGGACCTAGATGAGGAGCTAACACATCATCATGGCAATCTTGGGAATGCCGCGACACCAAGAACAAGAACAGGGTACTTTTTTAGATTGCCAATCTAATGTCTACTACTGTTGATAACTTCGTATCTTCCTTGGAAATTTATTCTCACATCTATCCTGTTATTGCTCACCCTGATTTGCTTTTCATTGGATGTCTTACTGCGCTACTGTTGTCAGGCTTTTGCAATTTTCTTTTTATCGCAGATTGGAGCGAGTACGGAACAAAATAAGAAGGTGGAGAACAAGAAGGAGAGAAGGAGGGAAGGCAATAGGGAAGTTGGACGGGACGTGCAGAGAGGGGCCGTGTCGGGATGTGTCACAAAGAAGAAATCCCTAAGAATCCTTAAAGCGAAGAATGTGAGATGCTATGTATATATAGTCGAAAAGCACGACTGACTATGCGGCTGCGATATGGAGGGCTTGCTATCACATTTCATGCCAGCATCATCGGCTGGACATCTGTATTAGCAATACTTAATGTTGTAAGTCCAGAATGGCTTACGAGATAAAATGAAGTTATGTAATTTCTTGATGTCCCCAAATACTTTGGATAGAACTATGTGTTTTGAAGTCTCCCGTTCGAAAAGTCTTCATATCATGTCTTCAAGCTTGATAGTTAATCGGCTGCATAATACAAACGAGATTTTAGGTAAATGTACCACTCTTGTTGGTATGTATGGAGCTCGCTACTAATTGATTTAGCTACTAAAGTAATATCAAACTTCCTTACTCCAGAGTCATAGGTATACTAACAGTGTGATAAATTCTCAAAATCCCGTCTTCTATTGGGGTGATTATGAAATAGTTAGTTTTAGTGGATGAAAGCAAAGTTTTTTTCAAAAATGACTGTAACTTGGCCATTAATTACTGAGGCAAATACAGTGGACTGATTGGAGGCTGCAACCTCCTCAGACAATCACTAGCACTCACCTACAACGATGAACAACGAGGCTCTGAGGGCTCTGTGAACTCTTCAAACTCTGCACCCGTTACCCATAGTGGTATTATTGCAGCAATACAGATCATTCGATCCTCTTGTACATAATAACCGAGAACCATGTCCGATGGGCGACCTTATTGATACTCGATGTGAGAATGCCGTTAAGTCTTTTTGATGTTTCAGATGTTTTTCCACATATCCGGAATGGTGAGAAGGTTGAGGATAGTTTCTCCATTAACAAAATCAAAAGTGGTTTCGATGGATGGAAAGTAGTCCTCAGCAGGCTCTGGGACTGAGGAGGTCTCAGACCCTGTGTTAGAGATGATAATCGTGATGTACAGACATGACAAGTCCAAATAGGGTACTATAAAGAAAGGATATGACGGAGGAAACCTTGTTGTTACAACTATATGAATTGAATCATCATTGATTCCGATACTCTTTTCTATCAATTGTATCTGCATCCTAAAGGTGGATGGGCTCTTACATTGTACAGTATTACCTGCACTATAAGGCTACATGCAAGACCTTTTAACCACAACAAAATAGCGGCTAAAGCCTAGCCGATTTGATCCAACTCGATGTATGTCAAGCGCTCAGCTTTCGGCATTACTTAGTGGTTGAATGGCAGATACTTATGCCTGGGCGCCCAGGAATGCCCGAACTCCGCTCAAAAGGCAGTGAGCCGTAGAATTTCGTACTTCATTCTGTTCCAACCACTGGTTAATCAAATAGGTAGTAAAGGCTGATGTCATCGGTTATGTATGATGAAATCGAGATAGCCACTTCTATTGCCATAGAAAAACATGAAGTAAATCGGTATGAACAAGAAGCGACATGGACAATAGGGCAGTGCTCGAGGAGCTGAGCAATTGAATACACCAAAAAGAATTACAGACCGCAGCTAAGTGAAGTTTTCGGCTTTTCCAACGATGCGACATCCAGTAGAGTGTATTTACCATAAGTACTTTTGATGTCTTCGAAAACTACACCGCTAATGTGTTTATGGAGTTTTTATCAGATGCTATCGTGTGATAGAAGCTATAAGGAGCATAACGTATGAACAATTGATTTTGGAATTTGGGATGTGGCTACATATCATCTTGTTGTCCTAGTCGAGTCCCAAGCATGTTGCTAAGATAGGTGCTCCATACTTCAAGAATGTCGGCCCGACCTGGCCTGTTGCATCGAGAAAATTCCATGCAATCAGGTTCCAAAATATGGATGTCACAGCTAGCAAATTCCACAGTCCCATCCAGTACCGTTGTCCTACAGCAAGGGCATGATTAGTCATCTCGTTGAGACAAAACGGCAGCAACAACGCCTGTGCTGTTGGATTGTAAGGATTTGTACGTACAGTTAGATAACAGCATAGCCCTGTGGCAGCGCATCGAGCTTCAGCACCAGCAGCACATCTATCTTGACGCTGGAACTATGGTCAGACTAGAGGCAATGCTAGTTTTACTAGTCTCGAACCTTTTCTAATTGTGCCAGACTCTCCGCCGGCGACGTAGCTGGTGCGGCAATGGCCATGCTAAGGAGCATAGAGATCAATAGAAGCTCCATTCTTAGAATATTGTAACGTCAATAGGGTTGGGAAGGTAGGCGATCAGGCTCGATCTATAGCTTGTAAAGCTAGGTCGGTATACATTTTCTTCGATGGAATCCCTCAACGTTTTATAGTATCTCTGCAATCATTGAATACCTTGCACAGGTTTCATGTCTCTTTTTACCCAGCTCTTGCCCCTAAGACTATGATGTAAACGATGAGAAATTAACTTAATTTGGGAGTACTAAGTGTACGCCAAGCCTCATTATACCTGATAAAGTTATCACCTATTCGTATAACTGGGTTATATCTGTGCTTTACGAATATAGGGTAGAATTGAGGAAGGTATAGCGAATCACTAAGATTGGCCGTGTGAAGCTCGGGATAAGGGAAGACCTGACCGCTCTCTGCACAATTAGATAAGAGACTGCACTATAACGAACCAGGCAACACCGCTGTTGTGAAATTTCAAATGTGTAATTAGTATTAGTAAGACTATCCCGCCTCGACCCCAGGTGCGCAAGATACCATAACTTGAAACTGAAGACGTCGGGGCTACAATTCAGCTCTTCTTAGAACGGCAGCGTGGTTATATATATTCTGAATCATCGCGTGCAGCGGTGTAGAATGAACAGCAGGTGACATTTTGCAATTGCAATAAACGTATATGTTAAAAGCCCCACAGTTGATATAACGATGTCTACGAAGGTGACTGTCAAAAGTTCTTGCTAAGGCGCGGAGCTATCGGACCATATTCTCTTAGTAATCATAGAAAGTCTATTAAGTTAATACACTTTCTATTATGATTCAAGCAGGTAGGTAATATAACTATATAGAGTCAGCTTATCACTATAGGCATAACCTTCAATAGCTTATACCTTCTCTAAACTACTCTATGAAGAACTTTCATTTACAAACTTGGTGTAATTTATAGTCTTCAGCAGTATTTTTAGTAGTGCTTAATAATTCCCTATTAGGAAGAACTTTTGACAGTCACCTCCGTAGTGAATTGTCCAAAACGAAATTTCTGTTTAGGTTCCACAGTTCAATCCCCTAGCTTTGTCGAAAGCTAAGTTCAAATCTATCAATACGACCAAATTACAGCATGAAGGTGCCAGAAATTGTGACTAAGGGCTAGAATGACAGCACGAAAGAATGTCTGCAACCTGTAGCTCTGGAAGCAATGGATCCAAATCAAAGAGGGCCTGCCACTGAGAAGTTAGGCAATACTCGGTGGAAGCGGGTCCAACGGGCCGTGATACGGTGTGACTACGGGCCGTAATTACGTTCATGTTACTTGCCCGTACGGAACATGGCTTAATTGGTTGGTCAAATAGCTATGCCGTTAAAATTGCGATATAAGTGGACTACAATAATCATTTTCTAGGACTTGTTGAACTTTATCTCTGTATCAACTTTAGTGACACCTTTTACGAGGTCTTCGACTATAAATGTAATTTAGCGAATATTAACTGTAAGAGACCTTGCAGTTATTAGCTGGATAGATGCTAAAATGCTGTATCAAATTCCTAACATAAGTTGGAACAGTGGAGTCTTCTAATTACATGATAAAAGCTCCCACAACGTTACAACCTGAACGCCTAGAACAGCGTAGTGAGAGCCGATGGCTAGCACAGCTAAATCTTTCAACAGCCTAACAGTTAAAGCTGAACACCTTTGAGCACTGTAATTGCTTTAGAATGTTTATGCTTTAGGTAGAACCCGCAACCTTGTAGGCTACACCGTCTTCACTTAGAAACAGTTGAGTGTATAACTTCACGCAATTGCTATCTTGTAAATGCTAGTAGAAATATATCTCGCAAATAAAATGTAGCACCATTTCTCTAATAACTATCACTTATTGCCTATACAGGAGTCCTTCTCAATACACAATTTTCTAGATGATATACAAGTTAGTGTACGTATAGCGAGCACTACTAGACTATGCATATCATTAACACTTTTATTATTTACATGGTGAAGCATGCATATTTAGACTATACTATAGGATTATGCTTTGTAGCGTAATCAAGATATCCTAGCGTAGAGAAGGTATGATACATAGGACGCTCTGCTATGTGGAGTCTGTAACTGTTATCATTGCATTGTGGTTGATTGTCTTACATTGATTTATGTAATATATTGTAAATATTCTTATTGCCGTGGCTTAAGCCGTACATTCACAATAATGCAGGTTTCACAAGTACACAATAGATTTTTAACAAGATCTTAGCAGACTTGTGAGATTGATTGACTAAGATAGTGCTTACTAGCATTGCCTAAACAATGAATCGTATTGCTGAAGGGAGTAATAGCGGTGAGTGATGATTGTATACAATCTTCGCCATTGTCGCATTATCATTCATGGAACTAGCAACAGAGTTTAAATTGCAAGATCTTGAATCAGCTAATATCCTCAAATTACCGGTTCAGAATGAGATCGGCTATCTAGTGACCTTAAACGTTGGGTATTGACTGGGTAGTATTTGGAAATAGGCAAGTGTAGACGATATTGAGTCTTTAATGTGGGGGAGAGATGTTAATAGCAGACCGAAGATAAAGGAGAGGATGAGAATATCAAGCAGATAATGCAGCGTTTTCGACGATTTCGCGAAGATTATACTTTTCATTGTACTGCCAAAGGAAGGTGGAAAGTGGCAGAAAGAATGCTCGCACTAATTTCTTGCAATGACAGTGCTCAAAGACCAGAACGTGCTTCCCTCGTCGAAGGAAAAATCACTTGTGAAGTCACACTAATCTAAGAAAGGCCTCTATAACAATCATTGATCCGTCAGCATTGCATTTCCACAAAATGAAACCTAAGAGTGGGATTGCTTTAGGATTCGCTGGATCAGGGATGAGACCAGGATATGAATCAGCTGGAGTCAGCTGTGCATGCTTTGAAAAATTCGCAGTCAACTGTGCGTGGATGACCAAGGTGTGTGCATATCAGTCTTTGCCTCCGAGCATACTAGTCCGTGATCGGCACGGGGTGGCGTAAATACCTAACCATAATAGGCTGTGCAAATACGGAAGCTTTCCAAGCCGCTTCTTCTTGAATATTCGACTAACCCTGCGCGATTTTATCACGGGACAAGGTATCGTCGCGTCAGCTTATGGTCTTGCCCCGATAAACCTTGCTTGGTGTACGTTTCGGCCATGTAAGACGACTGCAATGCAGCTGTGCCCGCATCATGCAGCCCTGGTCTGGTTATTACCACCTATGATTTTGAGATGACGCGTAACCTCGATCCACTATATACCAGTGGGATCTGCAGATTTTCGCGATACCCAGACATTGCTGACAAGTGTAGACGCAGGAAGATCGTTGAGGTGTGAATGGGATGCTTATTCTGGTCAGTGGTAACATCGTAACATTGCCTTGACAGTATGATCGCTTCAAAACCTGTGGCAATATCACTTAACATATCGACGAGCACTGACTCCTTCGCGTCATGATACAGAAGACATGCTATTTTGCAGCTGTTGTCGGCTTCGTGACAGCTGCATGGTCACATGGTCGAGATGTCCTACTCTGCATGCTCTACAGTTCCAAGCATCTCTATGGAACCCTCTTGAGATGCTTGCGAAACTTATCAACCCCACCCCCCACTGCACGAGTATCTGGTCTATATACTCTCTCGTGACACTTATGTGGTTTACATAACCAGTCTTCTCTCACAGGATGAGAAATCCCACATCATGTTTCTCGTGTAAGACTATGTTTAGCCCCTGTTTTGTATCCATAATTAATAGACCATGGGGGCCTTTCTATGCTCCTTCGCTAAGTAAGGATGGGGCATACAAAACACTCTAACTACCATAGTGACTGGTCCTCGGAGCGTCGGCGCTCCAAGTCCGGACCCCTGTACCAAATCTACTCGAGTTTCTTTGTCTTTGTGCAAGCCGAGTGTGAGGGTGGTAAGACCCATTTTTCGTATATAGAACCCAGGGCTGGGGGCCTTGGGAAAGATTGGGTCACGAAGACAGAGTCAGCAAGAGGTCCGGGTACAGCCTTTCGGCCCACTGCTGGCAATGCTGTGTTCTGGTTCAATCTTCATGCAAACAGTACCGGTGACGATCGCACACTGCATGCACGATTACCCGTGCAACGGGGTATGAAGCTGGAAATGAATATTTGGAGTCGAATACTGTGGAATGACGAACATTGAAAACCAGTTGTATTTGCAACATCTGCAATAACGTGTCGCAGTTTGGGCAGATTGACGTATAAAAAGGGTTGATGTCCATCGGTGGCTTCCTAAGTGCACATTCTCCTGCTTCATTCAATCCTCAAATTCCGGCATTCGCGGGTAAACATACGCCCCTGGAAGGGAGATAATAAGGACTATTCTTGCTGAATTTCTTGTGCTTGACAAAGTCTTTAGCCCGCCACTCCTATATTGCCTCATGGCTTCTGCATTGTCCGTTGACAGCAGATTCAGGGAAAGGCCCTGGCTGACCCTCAACCCAAATGTAGGTGTAAAGATCCAAGCTTGGATAGCATGTGAGAAATTACAATAGTATCAGAAAACAGTGGTCCATATGCGCCTCATGAAGCAGCGGCATGACAGGTTCCAGACCCGCCATGTAGTACTGATCGTAGTGAAGATACTTCCGAATCACATTCAAACAATAAATATTATGCTGCACATCCAGCGAAACAGCATACTTATCGTCACCAAATCTGAACTCAGGATCAATCTTAACTGTCTTTTCTCGGTCCCTGCCGAGCTTCAAGAGGTTCTCCTTGCTGATACTCCAAGACGATTCCTCGGAAAGTCTGTGCCATGCTTCGTCTGTCTCTGGTGACGGGAGGACCGCGAAATATGTTTCTGGGCACATAGAATAGAGTTCCATTGACAACATTTGCAGCTAAAGGCGGGCAGAAGTGCTAGAGTACTAGCTCTAATGATTAACTCAGTGAATGCCAGCTGATCAATCAGCATTCTTGCCATTGAAGCTTACCGAAATGAACGTTTCTACTCACTCTCCAGTAATCGGACGGCGCGTGTGTGAAGGAGATGCTTCCAAGAATGAGAAGAACAGATGAACAGTGGAAGAGCGGTGGGTTGATTTTCATGCGCCATTTAAGATTCAGGAGTTGAAGATTGACAAGGGCTGTATCTTGCAAAACCTTCTCATCATCATTACCCAAACATTTTGTTTATGTTTCAATAGAATAAGCCCACCTCCTTCTACTCTTACTTGATCTGCTCACCTTTTAGATAAAATGTTCTCTTTTGAATACACAAGTAAGTTGATGATTTTTCATCTTGTATGTATTAGATTCGGTGCACACGAGTGCGCCTGATCACTCAAAAGGAGCAGACTCTACGTATTTCACTCACTCCACTGCCTGGTACTGCATTACTCCATCTCGATATGATGATGGACTGAAAACTTTCAGAATCACATCAAAATGGCACTTTATCCTGAATATTACCAACAGCAAAAGGTTCAAAGGAGTAAACATACAGGTAAGATATGTAGCCCTCTAAGGAGATGATTAGAAATTTATTTTTGAGAGATAGACCATTGCATAAATCAGATCCGCCAACTTATCAAGTGTCATGGGGATGTCACGCCCATTCCCACTGAATACTATGCAGGATACGGAGGCAACTACATTGACGCAGATCAAGTTCACATGTGCCGTGATTCTGAATTCTTACTCCAATGGACGATACGCAGACACAATGGCAGCGAAGCTGTACATCCTAGGAACAGGGATGGGACGCCAAAGACATTGGATTTTGAAGAGCCATAGAAATATTTGATTGGTTCTCAAACGGATATGTCCATCAGAGAATCGATATGCTAAAAAGAAGCACACAGTCACCTTTCGTACATGCCATGGAGGGGGATAGGACATGTTAGTTCGTTTAGCCAGTCTTGCAGACCACAGCCCTATTTAAAGCCATACAGGCCCACACTGTTGAGTAGTGAGCGATTATTTTCTCTGTTATTGTGAGCATTGTTCCTATTCACCATGACCCGTCGATTCCGGTGAAGACGAACCTAGGAATTGAACATAATCCAGTATGACTTTTGGCGTGCTGTCAGAGGAGATATTTTATATAATATTCCCCCTAATCCTAAGCTCATCCTTGAAACTCTCTGAGATATGTGAACGATGATTTATTTTTCCATGCGGCCTATCGCACTTTCATCTCATTATTTGTTTCAAGTAACATCGCTTCTTAGTCATCAAGAAATCAATCAACGTCAATTGACACTTTGTAACGGTTCCGTAGGATAGACAAGACTATGGATAATACCAAATGTCTGGAGGAAATTGTAACCTGTGGAAGGCATTTAATAATGGCACTGAAATACCCATGAGTAGAGACCATGACTGAAGAAGAAACACCGTGTTTAGGTTAGGCTCAACGCATATTTTGGTTTTATCGCATGTTTACAGGCAGTCACTATTCACAGCTTTATACAACAGCTGCATTTTAGACACGAAGTTCAACGAATGAAATGCTTTCCTGTTCAGGGATTCTTTCTTATCATTATGATCTCAATAGACATGAATAAGCTGATTACTTGCTCAGAGGTTCCTAAGTGAATCTACTTTTTGGTGGCGTATGAGCCAGACTCGATGTCCTGAAGGAGAGGCGTGCCCTTTGGTTGCCAACCCAGCTTCTTCTGAGCCTTTGCTCCCGAAGCCCTATTCTCTGCCTTGAGGAACCACGCAATGTTTTCCCCAAATTTAGCAAAGGCCTCGTCGTAAGTGATATCCGAGGTTGGAACACCGGCTGCAGAATTGATAGCATTCAACAAGGCGCCCATGGTGACTTCGGTTTGCGATGCTGCATTGAACAAGTCGCCAGCCTCGCCCTTTTCGAGTGCCAGCAACAAAAGGCGGACGGCGTCATCTACATGCACGGCTGTGGTACGATTTCCGCCTCCGTTCACGGTAGGGATGCCGCCCATACCCTTTGCCATGCCCATGAAGCGCGCGATGCCGCTGCCACCACGACCATAGGTAAAGGGAGCCATACGGACGACCATGATACGAATGCCTCGCTCCTTGGCCTGGGCTCTGGCATGGTTCTCGGCTTGAATGCGCACATTGAGAGGACTGGGCTCTGGAGGAGATTCTTCGTTGGTCTCGTTTCCATTGGGGTCGGCTTGTGCGGACAGTGTGCCCGAAGTGGTGATGAGAGGCTTGTTGGTGCCAACCAGCCCATCGCACATGGCATCGACGGCGGCGTTATCGATGGGAAGTGCGTCCTCGTACTTGCCTTGGCCAAAGACATAGGCGGTAGCTAGATTGACGACTCCATCGGCCTCTTTGCTCTCCTCTCGGAGCACATCCAGCGAGGTCAGGTCGCCGCGGACGGGCTCAGCTCCCAAGGCGCGTAGTTTGGCGTCGCCTTCTTCATTGCGGGACAGAGCGTGCACCTGCATGTCGAGTGCATCGTCAGCTCATGTAAGACGGATACGGTACATATATCGCATGGCCACTCACCTTGTATCCGTCAGCGACGGCAAGCTCAACGAGAACACCGCCAATGTAGCCAGTGCCACCAGTAACAAATAGACGTCCAGGACTCATCTCTTGGTATCGTGTTGGGATTGGTATGGGGGCAAAGTTTAGTCAGAGACGGAGCATTTATGGCTGACTGGGAGGGATGAGAAGGAGTGCAGAGTGGCAGAGAGCTAGGCTGCAACGAGCAGCTCCCTTTGTGATTACGTGATGGCGCCCTTGCTCTTGCCATGCAGTGTAACACGGCGCTTCGCAAACGAAGGCCCGGGCTCCGACGCCCGACGGTGCCGACGACTTTTTAGGCTGAATCCTGCGGTGCATAGGAGCGGCGATAAGGGGCAGGTCGGGGATAAGCGTCGCCTTCGGGAAGTCCGGAGAGCGAGTGATATTAGAGAGACGCCTCGCAATCCTGCTCATGCGCGCTTATGTACGCCGCATACGCCTTCGGGTCAGATCAGTGACAGCGCATTCCCGCTGAGCTTCGTCGTGGTGAGCTTCCGAGCTTGTATCCTCTCGCTGGAATTTGCTCGTTGCCGCCTGTATTGACAGACTACCCTTGTGCTGCATCGTGCTTGCGTGAAGTCACGTGACAGTCCACGTTGTGAGGGGACATGATTTACAAGGCCAAAATAAGAGATTGAATGATAGTAGCATTAGTCTGATTTGGTAGATTGTCTGGTAAGAAGTGCTGCAAGAATATCAAGATCCAAAAGCAAAGCCCAAGAGTCAGTCCTATGTAGCTATCAAGGCGACTGAGCAGGTGGTGAAGCATCCACCAACATCTTCAACGTCTCCCCATCCTCCTCCAAAGCTGGTACCGGCACGTTCAAGAACCGCAACTCGCCCACTACATCCCTGAACTCTGGAATCACATGCACATCATGAAACCACTCCCATACTCTGGGGTATCGATCTCTCAGCATCGCATGCAACACAATGACACCAAACACCATGGTGCCCGCTGTGAACAAGTCTGCGACCGTAACCTCATCGCCGACTAGGTAGTTGCTATCCTGAAGGTGCGCCTCGAGCAGCTTAAAGTTGGCGTGCACCGCCGCCAGGCAATCTCGCGTGTTCTTGCGGACAGCAATAGGCAGACCCAGGAGCGGGAGGATGATGCCGCCAATCGCAGGGAGCAGGTCTGAGTTTGCGAGGGAAAGCCATTTGAGAATCGAGTAGTAATCTTTGCGAGAATTCCCCATGAGGGTGGATTCCGCATCTTGTGACGCAACTGTTGGAAGGGGTTATTGATGTGTCAAATAGGGGCAGGGCGGTTGGCACACTGTAGAGAAGAATGGCAACGCATTCGGTCAAGACAAATCCATCTGAACCAATAAAAAAAGGTACTTGGTTCAGTGGGTTGAGCATCTGCAGTTTCTCCTGATCCTTCTTGTTGTTTCGGTCGAGATAGACGACGTCTAGTTCAACATTGAGGGATTTTGCGACTGCGATGATCGCGAAAGATCGTGGATTTGGCTATCAGCTTGTCAATAAGCTTATATCATCTACATGGGGTGTGGTAAAATAATATCTTATACATTGCGTGTGTAAAGTGTGCCGAATGACATGATTGCTCTGCTGTTTGATGTAATTCATTCGCGGAGGGCCGAACTATATAAAGATTAAGAGACCATAGAGCTTGGACAAACGAACTGCTGTCAAAGGTAGATTGTTCTACATATGCACGTGAACCAAGATATCGGTGCTCGGGGTTGACACTTTCTTGGAGAGAATAACGACTCTTCCGAGTTTCATGGCCATGTAAACGAAGATAGGGTGCCTGGAGATACAATATCAGAGGGGATATTCCGGCTACAAAAACTGTGAATTAATCTTCTATCTAAAAGTCGGCCATGCGGTTTTTCTCTCGAAAAAAGGATGAAGTTCATGCCACATCAGTCTACTTAATCCCCGAGTCTCTAACTGTGAGACGCACCTTGAGCGAGTTCAAACACACATTACTTGATAGCACACCATTCACTTTCCTTGTGACTGACTTCAGAATCAACATTTCCATTCTCGGCTAGCTTGCTCAACACCTCGCCCGTCATGGGTTCAATCACCATCTAGCGCACCTCCTGGTTCAATGCGTCGCTATGCATGATGCTGACCAACTGCCTGAAGGTGACACTAACTTCCCTGCCGGGGATGCGAATCTGGGCCAAGTCGGGGCGCACCTATGTTTCACGCCGTCCATGTCTTCGCCTTGAGGATAGATCAACTTTGCTTTCAGATCTGGAATTATAATACCGTGCACGGGATGACCCATGTTGCGGTTGTGCGACTGCATCAGGCGCAGCGAATCAAGCCAAATACTAAGCTCCTCAAAGATTAAGTACGGTGCCGTGACGCAAGACATTGTCGCCCCTGAACATAGCCATTTCTTATTCGTGTACAACGCATGTATGGTCATCGGTATGGCCTAGCGCATGTGCTGCGCTCGGTATAGGGCCTTGAAAAGAAAGCACTTGAACATCCAGTATCGGCAGTTGATTTTTGGTGGGCTTGTTCTTGTATATGATATTTGAAGGTGGGGATGCATGGGTAAAGGATCTAGAACACGCCTAGTATAGTCGCAGTACTACTGTATAAGGGACACGTTCGAAAGTGTAATATTTGGATTTATAATGATGGCGGATATTAACGCTGCGTATTGTGAGAGTACTTGGCTGGCGTTAAGCAGCATCATCGAGAACCCGTCCCAACGATATGGGCATTGATTCCGTAAAGGGTAAATTTGCGGGCAGTTTAGCCCAGTACATGCATCACAATGAGGCTAAGAAACTCGACATCTGGAATAGCTGGGATGCGAGGGAGTGTGTTCCAAGATAGCCTCCAAAGGCAAAATTGTTCAGGGCGTTTTTGATTTGTATGCAACCGCTTATGTGCCTATCGGTATACCGTCCTTTCTTGTCGGAAGTGGGCGGCGGAGACGTATCGGGTGTGGCATGGGGAGCTATGTCAGAGCGCTGTAAAGATGATGTATCATTCTGGGGAGATGAGAGGCGGAGTATACTGGTGCATACAGGCCACCAAAAAATCATCGCGAACAAAAAGCAAGAGATCGGAGGTCAATACTTAGCAGGGACATGTCTCGGACAAGAGAACCGATGACTGTACCGATATCCGGGGCTCGGGGTATATGTGCGGCATATTTACAGTTGCAGCTTTTAAAGTGAATAGAGACCTCGCCTAACGAATTGTTCGACGGTATCAGTCGTACACAATTATTCCATATGGCTCCACACGCAATCACGATAGAGGCCACAGGCGATAGGCACGAGTTTGACGTTGAGGACTGGGTTCACACCTCTACCAGCAATGATCTGCCATACAGACATCCCAGTACCGGCATCGATATTCTCGTTGTTGGCGCTGGCATGGGTGGTCTAACGACAGCACTGGAATGTTGGCGGAAAGGACACAACGTCGTGGGGATCCTAGAACGCAATGAAGGCCCCCTTTACTCTGGAGATATCATCGTCATGTTGCCCTCAGCAGTTTCGGTGATGAGACATTGGCCTGCCATGCAACGCGACATGGACAACGAGCAAGTCGACGCGGCTGTGAGCTATGAGACGCACCGTGGCGAACACATCTACGGTCCCACGGTACTCTCGTACAATGACCCCGAGCACCGAAAAGAGCGCGAAGAGAAAGGCCACCGTCCGTTTGTTGCACCCGCACAAATTCGCAGCAAGTTCTATCGCATGCTATTGCGGCAGGTTGCTCGTCTAGGCTTCACTGTTGAATACGGCAAGGCGGTTCGCGAATACTTTGAGGACGAGAAGAGCGGAAAGGGAGGAGTGATACTCCAAGACGGACTGTACGTATGCAGTAGCTTCCTGCAGACTTCTCACTGACCATGAACTCGCTGCAATCAGGGTGCGGCTAGCAGACATAGTAGTTGCGGCCGACGGGCTGAGGTCACGCTCTGAACTGCTCATCCATGGTCGACATTCAGCGCCCCGTTCCAGTGGCATGTCCATTTACCGCACTGCGTATGCAAAAGAGGTGGCAATGCGGGATCCAGTGGTGCGGGAGCGGTGGGGTAACAAGCCCCCTGTATGGGAATACTGGCTGGGACCTGGTATGTACATTGGTATCTTCATCTCAGACGAAATCGTCTCGTGGGGATTCACGCCGCTCGACGCCCAAGGTGAAGCGACGGAATCGTGGGAACCGGATACCGACCCTGAAGATATAGTCAAGGAGATGCTCAAGGTACCGGATTGGGATCCTGCCATCCTTGCCTTGGTACGTACTGCGCCACGCGGCGTGGTCCACTGGCCTCTGCTCTGGAGAGACCTTAAGCGCGATTGGGTTTCCAAAGGCGGCCGCGTGGTGCAGGTCGGTGATAGCGCGCACAGCTTCACGCCCACGTCTGGCAACGGTGCGACACAGGCCCTCGAAGACGCGGTCACTCTTGCAGCTTGCCTTGAGCTAGCCGGTCGTGATCGCTTGTCTACAGGCACCAAAGTCTACAATCTGCTCCGCTATGAGCGCGTCAGTTGTGCCCAGAAGATGACGTTTGTGAACGCACAGCTGAAGACGGCCACGGACTGGGACGCCATCGCCGAAGACCCTTCGAGGGTGCGTACGCGCTTCCCGAAATGGATCTTTAGTCACGATCCGGAAGCGTATGCCTACGAAAAGTTTGGTCAGGCGTTCGCACACATTGTAGCCGGCGACAAATTCACCAACTCCAATTTGCCGCCAGGTCATACTTTTGTGCCATGGACTCTGGACGAGGTGGCGGCCTCAATGAAGATGGGAAGACGGGTAGAGGATCTTCTAGACGGAGACTGGTCGTAAGGAGAATCTCTACTCAGGTAGGTCAGTTGAGCTAGCTATTTCGTTATTCAGATTGAATCTTATGCAATTTCAATACACAATACAAGCGCGCTGCAAAATGATGATTCATCTGTGAAATACGCATGACAAAGTAAAAGGTTTATACTAAAGTGAAGGCTGAAATGTTGATTCGCTCTATGTATATTAGGATAACCTTGTGTACAATCGTATTCTGACTCGCCTCTCACAGGCCACACTCTCTGACATGCAGCACATTTTCTCCTACCCCGTGATTCACCATGAGGCGACTCAAGCAGTCTGGAAGTTCTTGGAAACACCTGGCTGAATCGTCTCAATCTCCTTGAGGACTTCAGCCGTGATGCGCTCCTGCGCCTCCTTACCCGCGGCATCTGTCACGAGCGGACTTGGCTCTTCGATCATGCAGTCACTCAGATACTTGCCGTGCGTGTCCATACCCGATGCACCAGCATGCACCAGTGTCCTACTGCCCACCTCGGTCGAGCGTGCCACGATCAGCCTAAAGAACCAAAACCCCCAGCTTGTGGCCTCACGCGCCAGCTCGGACCAGCACAAGCCCGGGTTGACAATGTTGATGGTCACGGGAAATTCGCTGGCCGGATGGTGGTCGGCAACGGCGCGCACGATGAACAGCTGGATGAGCTTGGACACGGGATACTGCTGTGACCAGTACTTCTTGCAAGTCTCTGGATCAGACAGCGTAGCCAGGATTTGACCGTCAGGGGCGGAGCGCTGGGGAAAGGTCGTGTGCTCGTAGGCGGCCGACCCCGTGATGGCGAAGGTGGGCCGCGTGTTGAACCGGGCAGCCGTTTCACGCATCTTGGGCATCATGTTGGCCATGAGCAGCGTTGTGGCGATGACGTTGACGGCTATGCCTTCTTCGTGCCCGTTGACTTGATGGTACTCGGCGCGAACCACGCCGGCGTTGGCAATGAAGATGTCGATACGCTCGAGCTCGGCCTCGGCGCGCTTGGCGAACGACTTGACGCTGGTGTAGTCGCCCATGTCGAGTTTCCAGACTTGGGTGTCCTTGTGTCCCGTCGTACGCACAATGTCCTCCTTGGCCTCCTGGCCCTTGTCGACACTGCGCACGGCGAGAATGAGCTTTCTGGCACCCATGCGGGCGTAGTGCCGCGCTGCTTCCTTTCCCAGGCCGACATTGCTGCCCGTGACGATGACAGTCTTTCCGCTGAAGTTGCCCTTGGGATAGATGGGCGTCCTGAAAAACTGGCTGTATAGGAAGCCCATGGCTTGGAGGGTGGGGGTGGTGAGGGTGAGGGGGTGAAGGATGCAGCCAAGTAGACGACGACGAGGAGCAAGAAGACGTGGCGGATCAGATCAGGGAAGAAGCCTCGGTCGACGTGTTTGCACAGGCAGCCACTCCCTTGATATGCAACATGTCTCTGGACTGCCTTGCCGAAGCAGCGGGGCCATGCAAGGCGTGGGTGAATTGGGGGCTAGCCTCGCGTCGTATGTCGGGTAGTCCCTTGCGGAGATAGCGGAGTTAGCAATTGCCTCTAACCTCGTTTCGTATTCAGCCCGGGTGAAATGGCCCCCCCTGGTCGCTGTGTATTACAAGCACACGACCAATTGCATTGCCACGCCCACGGCACAATGCTTACTCGATACACACATACAGCCCCGCGGTGCGACATGTGAATCCCGACCCGAGTCGAGGCGCCTTCGCCCCGACCCGAGCTGCGAGCGCGCGCCATAGGGCCATGCAAACCACATGCCGACGCATACTTAGCACATATGAAAAGTGCAACGCTACCCTAGCATCGTTCCATTCCAGTCTGCGAGGATCAATACACGATGCCTACCTATGCCATCCTCGGCTCCACGGGCAACTGTGGCACCGCCTTGATCCAGAACCTCCTCAGATCACCTGACAACAAAATCCATGCCTACTGCCGCAATGTTGCAAAACTGCACAGATTGATTCCCGAGGTCATTGAAAACAAAAATGTCCAAGTCTTTGCCGGGAGCATCACCGATGTCGACCTCATGGAAGAGTGTGTGCGCGGCACCGACGCCATCTTCATGGTGGCCACGACCAACGACAACCTTCCTGGATGTTGTGTCAGCCAGGTAACATGAAATTACCCTACATGCCACATGCAATCTTGAACTGACGCATGCACTACACAATCCAGGATAGTGCCGCCACAGCCATTGCCGCACTGAAGAACATCAAGGCGAAAGCATTGCCTGGCTACAAGCTGCCTACACTTGTCCTTCTCAGCTCGGCCACGCTTGATCCCTACCTGAGCCGCAACATGCCCTCGTGGTTTCGCCCAATCATGCGCACCGCTGCATCCCATGTCTACGGAGACCTGATACTTGCCGAAAAGATGATGCGTGCCGAGTCGTCGTGGCTGCCCTCCATCTTCATCAAGCCTGCTGGTCTTTCTCCCGACATTTCACGAGGGCACCGCTTGACACTAGACGAGGAAGAAAGCTTTATCAGCTACCTCGACCTCTCGGCAGGCATGATAGAGGCTGTGCAGGATCCCGAGGGCCGCTATCATGCGAGGAATGTTGGCGTCGTCAATGCAAAGAGAGGTGTTGGCGCCAGGTTCCCATCAGGTACCCCCATGTGTATCTTGATGGGATTGATGAGGCACTTCTTCCCATGGATGCATCCTTATTTGCCCAGTACTGGTCCTACTTAGAAATACATTTCAATTTTTCTTGTTCAAGTGGAAGCGGGTATCAAAAGATAATAATGGTCCTTGAATTAAACATGCTCATACTTGCTATCTGGTTCACAAACTCCACCTACAAATTCATCAGGGTTAACAATTGCAAAACTTGAAATAAACGGTTTGCAACTTCATGGTATTCCTCAGTACATTTACATGATCCACAATGCATAGTCGCAGACTTTTCTACTGTAATGCTTCGACAAAATGTTTTTGACTTTCTTGGCTTCAGGGGTTATCATTACCAATTATGAGCAACGCATGAGCAACGTATGAGCAACTTTCGTTCAACATTCATCTATCTGCTTAGCTTACTAAAAGTCACGTGAAAACTACGGGGCAGCCAAGTCCGGCCTGTTCCAAGGCTGATCAAATCCAGTGAACGGCACCCACTTGAGATCCGAAGGCCGGCCTTCGGTTGTATCCTGACACATTCTCGCCAGCCTCAGCCACATGTCTCCTTGCATTGGAAAATATTCCTTGTACTCTCCCTGTTCAAACTCCTTCGCAGAGTCTTCTCCGTTCTTCAGAGCACGTATGAACTTGGCCGCGTGCCCATCGTCATGCTCCTTGATGACCCTGTCGAAAAGCCCATCCCAGTCGAGCCCATCGCTGTGGGGAGACGAGTATGTCGAGATAGCGCTGCCGTCGAGTACTGCAGATCCTGAAACGGCGTACCAGGCCAGGTCCAGACGTGCTTTCCATTCAACAAGACGCACGCGGTCCTCGAGTTTGATCCAGTCTTGCTTGTTGAAGACGGAAAAGAATATGCTGCTAGTAACACAGTGCATATAGAAGAAATCAATCTTGATCCTACGATTGGGCTTGCTCTTGTCCTGCGCAGCTCCTGCAAAGTACGCACACGTACTGATCATCTCTGCCGTCCGCCGCTCGAGATCCTTCTCATCGCTCTTGATGCGAAACTGCGCCGCCAGACTAGCCATCGCTTCGCCTGCGCGGCCGACAATGCCGTCGCGCATTTTGTTGCCGAAATCAGTCCATTTGGGTGCGTTACGAATGGCGTCGGTTGCGCGCACCTCGTGTACCAACTCCAGCATCGACTTGGGCTTTCGTGCTGGGTACGAAATGGCGGCCTCCTCTTCAGCATTTTTGAAGAGCGTGCTAATTCTCGCGTCGTCGTGGGCTGCGGCCTGGGCCAGTGCTTCCGCGACAATGGCTGGTTGCTGGAACTCGACGCCGAGACCGAGGTGGATGATGGGGTGGTAGGCGCCTTCATACATGCGTGCAAGGATAAGGTCAGACAGTTTGCTACGTGCTAGGACGTATTGCTGTATGACCTCTTTCCAGCCCTTTTCTCTGATCTCGCCTTTGAAGAATTCGAGATACGTGTGGTACTGATGAACCTGTCCAACAATCGAATCATAGAGGGCATCAGATCCGTCGCTCTTTCTCAAAGTCTCCAATAACTCGTCATCCACTGAAGGCATTACACGCTGGATCGGTACACCATCTTCATATCTCGCTTTCAATTCTTCTGGGCCAGCGCCCAGGGCCAGCACGGTAAGAAGGCTGTGGACAATATGGTTATGGCCGGCCGTGTCGCGGAAGAACATGTGCCATTCTTCGTGATTCTTTTGGAGCAGTTCGTTGCATGCCTCAAGCGATTCCTTGGTGACCTCCCCTGATGCTTTGATGAGCCCAACGTGGGAGGGTGAAAGTTGAATCGCGGCAGTTTCCATTTTTCTTGCTGGGTTTGTTCAATGAGTATTCAAAGGTGGGGACCCCAAAAGAAGTAACTTTGATCTCCAGTTGGCTTTATAGCCACCTTCACTTCGCAATGGGCGTCTGCGGTCGTCTGGTAAGCATCGGGACACTATTTGGGAATTCGGAGCCCGATAGGCCGAAAAATCACATGTTCACGGTGCAGGGTCTGGCCAGAAGATTCTAAAGTGATGTTGGGGTAGCACAGGCGTATTAGTGCTTAGGCTGTAAGAGAAAAAAACGAAGATGAATGCGTAACAACAACTGATCATCATCTTCACCGCATCACCGACACAGGGCGTTTTCGCGGGTCATTTGAGTCATTCTACTAAAAAAAAACATGTTTCGGCAATAATGGACCGAGATTGGAATACGGGGTGCGTCTGCGGTTGATGTATGTCAAGGCTCTAGTCGTGCCCTAGCCAGATATCTCTGTACTATATACTCTACACAATTTTTGTAAACTTTTACGGTAGTAGAACCCAATTGAGCTTTTCAATCTACCCTTCTTCTTCTGCGTCATGCGAAATAATATTAGCAGAGTAGATTTAGAAAAGGTTCAAACAAGAAAGACGTTGATTATACACATCTGTGTATGCGGTCTTGACACTTTCAAACGCAGTCTAAAACGCTTCGTGGAAACAGTGCACATCTCTTAGTATTTAGTCAATCTATATCCTCTCAAACATCATACAGCTAGTCTCGCTTTATTTCAAGTATCTCAAGACAGCATCTTGCAGGTCAGACTTGACGATCTTGTGCGTCGCGTTGACTGGAAAGTCAACAAATTCCAATTGCTTGAGACACACGACCCCTCCAAGGACATAGTCTTCTCCCAGGGCTGTTCTTACATGCTGTTTGATTTGTTCCGCAGTAGTGTTTTTGAAAGACGGGACCACCGCAATCGGCTCGGTACCTAAAACTGGGTGGGGCACTGGCACCACAACGGCCTAATATGATGGTCAATATGTTGACGAGACAACGGATCCACACAAGAATCAACTTACCTGAGACTGAGTAAAATTGGCAATGCAACTCTCAATAACAGCGGGTGCTATTGTGATGCCTGCGCGCTGGATCATATCCTTCCGTCTACCCACGATGAATACCAGTCCATTGTCGGCAATCATTGCCATATCACAGGTATTGAACCACCTCCCTTTCTTGTCGTTGTAAAATACGTCTTCGGAGTAACCTCCGAGATAAGATCTAATAATGCTGGGACAGGAAATGTGAAGCTCTCCAAGTTCGCCTCGTTTTACCACAGCATCACCCTTGATGGAACGGAGTCGTATCTTCGCACCGGAAGCCACCACGCCAACTGGACAAATTTGACCTCCAAGAAACGGGATATCCTTTGGATGAGTGTCAAGGAATGGCCAAGTAAATACACCGGGCCCTTCGGTCATGCCCTGGTTCACGCATACTTGCGCCTGTGGGAACAGTGCTGCGCACTTGACCAGGACTTCTTTTGTAACTGCATCACCGCCGATCTGAATTCTTTTCACACACGACAGGTCGAGAGAAAGTGTGGCAAGCGCAATGGCAAATTCGTGCACCATTGGTGGGGTCAGCACAAGGAAGCTCGCGCCAACTTGGTCTATGGCCTTGATCGCATCCTGCACGCTGCATATCGCACCTGAATGTCAGTAAGAATGCTTCATTTTAAGCAAATGTACACGTGTAATTTTGCACCTACCTGAAAGACTGTCCTGTAAGGACTACTGCACCACCTGCCCGCCAGGTTTGGAGAGTTTGTGCCGGCGCGATGCCCCGCGAGTTGTGTGGCTGCATGAGTGCATATTGGGCCGCTCCAGAATCCGAATCAATGAGCCATTCTTGCGAGTGTAGAGCATGCGAAATGGCAGTCACACTCTGCGGACATCCCTTTGGAATACCCGATGTGCCTGACGTAAACATGATTGAATTGATGCGATTCATATCATGGCGTCGCGCTCCCGAAACAATCGATGCATGGTCCGAAAAGCCCTGGGAACTCGCATGCATGGCCACCGCAACGATGTTTTTCCATCCTGTAGATAGACCAGCTGAATCTGCTAGACAAATTCGTACCGGCACGGGGAGTCCAAGTTCTGATATGGCTACATCGACAGCCTTTCCACTGTATGAGTCGGGCGCTACAACCAGCTGAGGCCTTATCATTTGGATTGTCTGCTTGAGTAATGTGAAGCCGGAGATGTCCAGGAGGCCTGGATCAAGGTTCACATAGGTGATGCGCAACAGTATGCAGGCCCAAAGCAGAATAGCATACTCAGCACCGTTTGGGATGAGCATGATCATATTTGTGTTTGGTTGGACACCAACCGCGAGTAGACCCGTGGCAACCTTCAAGGCAGTGCGATGAAGTTGTGTGTATGTGAGTGTGAAAGTAGCATTTTCCCCTTGTTGAGCGGGGCTGCGAGGACGACTGTGTTGGACTGCGTCGGGTGAGAGTGGTCGGCCTTGGTCTCTACTCCATAGCTTTGGCGTTGCAAACTGACATTGAAGTCGATTGTTCTCATTTTCTTCGGTTGCTGCAGAACAGGCAGCAACCAAGTTTTGAATGCTGGCTGACTGTTTCATCAAGCAGACTACTGCTGGACCATGGGGGTTTCTCTTCAATCCGCGCTCGACGTGTTCAAAGACGGACAACTGAGGCCATGTCTTGCCCTCGATTTCGGCAAGAGTCTCGTCATCTTCAGGTAGCAGATGGGTTTCCTGCCATACCTTCCTCGAACGAGACCATGAGGACAGATAACGAAATGCAAGGATCATAGCGCATATGGCCAGCAAAGAATATCCCATCGCCATCGCAAAGAGGAATATGGAATGATAGTTTTTGAACTTGATCTGCAGCAGGTTGCAAAATCTTTAGGATGACAAAAGAGGCCGACAGGAGACCGTATCCTGTTAGTTACAAAGGTATGGCCGTCATCCTAAACCTTGCCCGGCCGCCCAGTGTGCCTTTCTTGAAGCCAGCATTGATGCGTGAGAGGAAGTGGAGGATTACATAATACATGCATCCCTTACTGGCCGATAGGATGTGTGAATGATCCGCTGCTCCGCCATGCTCAAAGGGCGGAAGTCGGGCCTCGGGGCTTGGCGCGGGAGTCGGGGGTCGGGAGTGGAGAAAGATTGGTACTGCACATGTGCTTCTATTGGCTTGTACTTATTTCGCCCCCCGACTTGAGCTGAGTCATGAGCAAAGCACACGGTCGCAATGGAGAGTGATTAATCAGCACATTGTGTAAGCTACTGCAATAAGCCACAGCCAATCAGATCGCACCCGTTTCTGGATGCTCTTTGCAGTGTTGGCTCTATCAAGTACCGGACTAAAATGCGCAGCTGGCATGTATCGTGCTGAGAACAAAGTAGCAAGGCACAGCTGCAATTTGCTGCCGCGAGCCATATCAGATAATGATGACTCCTTGTCAAGATTGATTCATTCTCTACCACAATCTATGTGGTTGTCCGATTTCACATGAAAAGGTAAGCTTCTGACGAGTGTCTCCTCTCTGGATGCCCACAGTCCGTTGTAATTCGAAATGTACAGTCTTTCTTGGCCCTTCTAGTGCCATAGTGTAGCGACAATACCGATAATGGCCCCAATCAGAGGAAAGGTAGACCTCACAGCATGCATGGAAGCCCACCACACAACCAGCTCTTCAGCCTCCTTGAGCTCTATCGCTTTGACGCCCGCATGTTCTGCTGGCTTCGCTGTCCTCGTAACCGATTCCAAATGGAATAACTTGTCGTTTGTAGGCTTCATGATGAGTAATGTGAACGGGATGATGCTCACAGTCACGAGGCCGGCAAGTGCAAGCAGACGCCATGACTTTGGCCTCTCAGCTGTGCGCCTTTGGAAGCATGCAAAAGTGTACAATAAAAATGTCCCAATAGCTATACCGGGAATCAATTGGTTCCCATAGTGATAGACGCGTGTCCATTGATGGAAGAGCTGGTTAGCGTCGGTCTTAGTTTCAACGAGAACGGGAATCGCTATAATTGATAGTGACACCATAAAGCCTGCATCATAAAAGTAAGATTGAATCCTATACTCGGTAGCGGATCGGAGTGAGAATACCTGAGAGAAAAGACCCCACTATGACTGCAGCGGCTTGCAGCTTTGTTGTGGTTGTTGCTTCAGAAAGATTATCTGCTGCAACGTCCTCTACCAGCTTTCCATGCTCGATAAAATCCGTGACCCATCCAATCGTCATCATGCTCCTCTGCGTATCCGCAAAATTGACATGATCGCCTGCAATTTGCTTTCGGTACCAAGGATCTTGCCTCATTCGCTTGTAATCATCAATGCTTTTGAACGTCACTTGACTGAAACAATCGAATTCGGCCAAATTGATCATGTGATCATCGAAGAGCTGTCGCATAAGATTCCGAGTCTCCGTTGTATTATGAAGCTATTGGGTATTCCTTTAGTCCAGAAGTCCAGCCTCTAGTAACTCTCGTCGGATTCCTCACCATTTTCCATTGCACGATTCCATATTTTACCATCAATCCTTTTGTCATTGGTCCAGAAACTTGAGTCATATGACGTCGATAGTCTTCCTCGCTCATGCCAGGACGGCGGTATCCGCAAATGGTGAGGCAGAGGAGTTGGCCATTAGCGCCTCCTTTGGGTGGAGCTGGCAGGTTGTGTTTGTTAGACATGACGTGAAATAGCAGATGATGGTATTGTTGTTCCTGAAAATGAATATAAGCACATATCGGAGGCGGACCAGATTTATGTATCAACGTGCACCACATCCCCGAGCCCCGAGCTTGTACTAAATTCTCCGTCACTACTCCGACCGATCTGATTACCTGTTTGCACGCCGTTTTGCTGCAGGGACACATGGTCCACGGACTGTCCGACACCCAAATAATGCATTAAAGCAGTCGTCATCGTCTCTCTTGACTCTACACACAATGGGCGGCATGAAATTTCGATAAACACATTGCAACAAATTCTCGTCACTTCTCCAGAAGCCGACACAATTATATTCTTTGGAGAGTGCTATGAGGAACAAGTCAAAGATAGTGATAGAAAAGGAACCATCACCCAATCTGGTCCCTAGTCCACGATAAACCACAATTGCGACAAACCGTGATATCCCTCTAACCACACACGCAGGTCTCAAGCAGTCGGGTACTCGAGGAATAAACTTCCACTCACTAACCCACTCAGCTGCTTACAAAGTTTCTCAGCAATCACTAAGCTTATGAGTGAGCCGACCCTGAGATTGGCAAAGTGCGCATCGTTAGTAAGATTTGCCAGCGAGTATGTGCAAAGCTTTGTTGCTTTTGCTGTCAGAATCGGCTACCTTGGACGCCTCTGTTTTCAAGTTCACGACCTTTGGCTTTCCTGAAACGTATCACGCTGGAGGGACTGCGGAGATAAAAGTCAGAGATTCTACCGGTCCTAGCATCGAGGTTGTGTGCTTGGTAATTGATTGATCACGTCTCGAGGCAGGTTGGAGAGGGCAGCAGAAGCGACCGAGGAGTCTTACAAACGTCTGGTGTGGAAAAGAAGCGACTAGGAAGCATACGCTGACACGAGTGAAATATGAAGTGTTTACCAAGTCAATGATCTCATTATTCTAGGCAACGTATAAATTGTCAAGAGATGTGGTGCCATATTCCGGAGCAGGAACCATTTTGATGTAAGAACAGTACTTGGCCCTAGGAACAAGCAGCTTCGCCAAGCGAATGGATTGCTAGACTAGCGCATCGCAGAAAATGGATTTGCTATCCATAGCCTCGTTGATATTGCAAACAAAGCCGGAGCATACGCGATACTATCGATATAACAGGGTGGCAATCTCCATGATCTACCATTTTCGGTAGACAGTGTCATATCGGCGCATGCTTCGAAATCGTACAGGACGACTGAAGTTATGGCTCGGTACTTATCTTAGTATCAACCTAGTCATTCATAAAGAGGAGATATAACATGCTACGGCTGACGCGATTAGCGGCCTCTGAACTTGTAAGTTGTTCAAATTGGCTAATGCGTGCTTATATCAGGTCTTTGGGAGGAGCGCAAGAAGCCAACCATTCCGTAGCCGGGGCGAAGACCAGGGTCGCTTCTGCAAACGGTTCATCAGATCTTACTCACTTGGTTAGAATTTACATTATATCAAGTCATCTGAACGAAATGGGAGGTTATGTCCATACTAGCAACCTCCACTTATATGAGTTATGGAGTTTCCATGTTGCTGTTCGCCACGAGACCCTTATAAATCTCCAGGGTGGTGATCGCACTCTTTACATAGCTTTCACTGCTTCCTGGTGTCATTCTGTTAAATATTTATTTCAGTAGATTATATAATCTATATGGCTGGATAGACTAGGCGCTATGTTAGCTTGAGAAGACTTAGGTCATGTGGCAACGTACTGAGGTGACCATGCCACATCCGTTGATTTTGTGATCCTATCCAGCAACTCGCAAATCAGAATATGCTAAATCGTATCTTACAATGATAGCACCCGGGTGGTTCGTTGAATGTTTACTTGATGAGGCGCGCTGAACAGTGGAGGTGCTGAGGCTGGACACGCTCGCCGACTCCTCCATTTTTGCCGTGCTTGAACGCGTTCGCTCACCCTCATAGTGGGTGTTTCCTTTTCCGAGCGCCTAGTCCTCATTTTATTTTCATCCCTCTTCAGAGAGTGTGACAATACACTCGGTGGCGCAAATGTAGATTCCACCAAACCAACATAGACAGAGTGGGGTCTGATCTCAATCTAAACCGTGCTGTAACCTATCGTGTCAATCCTTTTAGCGATTTTTAGAGCCTCTACGAAATTGACTGACTCACTGGTGGCTCGAATCGCGTATGTACCACTTACTGTCTTGTCGTCAACGACGACATTTTTTCCAGAAAAGGCGAGATAACCGGAACTGTTTGGTGCCTGGAGAAGAACCTCTCTTTTCGCGGTACCCTGAACTCATGAAGAATTCTGCGAGGCGACACATTTAAAAAAAAATGCATTAAAGAGACTTGTTGCATCGATAAAGCAGCCGTATGGGGTCTTCGATGCACGTGAGGCCCTTGCTCGAGCAACTGCCAAAACTTGTTCGTGTCAGAGCCTCCTCCAGGCATCCTGCAAGACATTCCCACAATAACTATCTTCGGGTGTATCGAGTATCTACTATCTGCGTTCTGTCCAAAATCGACGGAATCTGCAGAAGTAGCGTTTGCTGTGCATGTACACTCCTCGCTCCTCAACGGGCACCTCCAGTCTCAAAATCTTTCTCAGAGTCTCAGAGAGATCTTCAAAGAGAAGCGACCTCCGAATGTGGGAATTTGAATGCCACACTGAGGGTTCTCTTGTAAATGCTGGGCTACGCCTCGAACAACCGTGCACCATTGTATTGCCTGCGTATGAATCCGGCGAAGAATTCGTTTGACAAGCTCTCATGCAGGTTCTACGTGAAAGATTCTCCAGAGCTGGTTGAAAATACGGCATCCAGAGTGGCATACGGAGAGCCAATGCTTTCTAAGGAAGGTGTTAAAACAATCTGCCAAACTTAGGTCCCAGTGTATGTATCTAGGGCATGACAGCCCTAAATACATTGGTAGGGCGACCGATCCCAAGTTATGGAAGAAGAAATTTGTGTGGGAAAGCGTCTTCAGCTGTGCTGATAGTTCACATATCGTCACAGCCAATGCAATATAGACACTGATGAAGATTTTGACAGTCCTGGGAGTTCTCTAATGGGGTAGTCAGGATAGGAATTCAGGGCTCTCGTTGTAGAATTTTATCATTTATTATTATTATTATTATTATTCTAGTTTAACGTCATTTTTCAGCCTAAAGGGCTATATAAGACGTGTAGGGTTTTTAGGCCTACAAGTATCTAAGTAGGTTGTTTCTAGCTACGATATTTAGGAGGGGTTTTAACTAGATGAAGGTGAGGCTCATAGCCTATTAGTTGGTAGGTAGGGGGTAGGATAGGGTGGGGGAGGTGTATGGCTACCTGTTACAGGTATTACTCCTCGTTTTCTGTGTTTCCCTTGTACCAGGCTTGTGTTCCAGCCTTTGTTTCTTAAATAAAGGTAATAGTTGCTTCTATACCCTCTTTTGTTTAAAAGAGGATAGGTAGTAATAGATTGCCTTTGCAGGCTTCTCTTAGTCCTTTCCTTTTCTCTCTATATAGATTACATCTAAATAGAATATGAGGTAGGTCTTGTATAGACCTATAGTTGCAGGGGCAACTATTAGAATCCACTTTCCCTCTCTTATATAGGTAGTCCCTTAAGTAACAGTGCCCTAGTTTAAGTTGGTAGAAAGCGCTAGAAATCTCTCTTCTAGTATTGCTAGGAATAGCGATTTGCTTTCTTATCTTCCACTTGTATTTTGCTGCGTACGTTTGTGGATTCTTGCTAGTGGCTTTTTCTATACTGTTCAAGTTGGCTAGCCATTCTCTCTCTCCTAGCTGCTTAA